ACTGACTGCCAGAGCTTAAGGCAACAAGAATGAGCCTGTACAAGAGGTGATTTTGTTTTATCAGAAAAAAAATCCATTATTTTAAAAAGTTTTCTATAATGCATACATTTTTTTATCATGAGAGATCCAAACTTAATGACAGTATATAAGTATGCTCTAGAAACAAGAAGAGTAACCTAATCATAATCTAGAAAAATGTTTACGTGTATGATTAGTATATTAGTCCTTGTAAACAAACAGACCCACTCAGACTAAAATTTAGCTCAGTACATGAGTGTTCTCTTAGGTCACAGAGCAAAAAAGGAGAGTGTAAGATTTTCAGCGAAAAATATAAATACCCCAAGGCATTCCATTATTTTAGCGATTATCTGAACTCATTGACTGGAAAACTCACTCCTGAAAAATAACTCCAACCGTCTCCCTACACAATTGCTTTGTAAATAGATTAGGTAAGATAGTGAGATAGACTTAGAAAAACACACTTCAATTTAACAACGAACAGGGCATCAGCCTTGTGCTCAAACAGTGGCTTTCACTATCTTTGTAAATGTCTGTAAAGGAAATACTTGGGGGTATTTCACAGTGGGCCGAAAATGGGATGAAAGCTGGCTATAAAGTAGCTTTGCCATATGATGGACACATTCACCAGGCTATGTTTCTATAATTGCGGCAGCTCAGACAGTAATTTTAACTATCAAGCAAATAGACACAAATACTGAAAGTATGCAAGAAATTCAGGCTTAATTATAAGCCTTTGAGTAGTATTTTAGACAAGCCTCTAGATCAAGACTATTCTTTTAGATACACATAGTGTCTAGTGGAGAAGCAAAATGAGCATGTGGGGACTTTGAAACTGAAGTTCAAATAAGCCTACCAATACATTAAGGAGTAAAATAGAGTAAAAATTGCTTTTATTTTAGAACACTTAACTGAACAAATGGGAAATATAGCATCCATAAAGATATATGACATAGCCTAGAGAGACACAATAGAAGGAAGTGATGAAATACTTAAAAGAAACACTCTGAATAGCATTTAATAATACTTGAGAATAAAGAGGTGACCACATGTCCAGCAGATAACCAATTACTATTTTTATGGCCAGGTAAGTACGGTTTATAAGGTTGCTTCTCACACTCTCTTCAACATCCTTTCTGTACAGCTGTGTTAAAATGAGATTCCGGTTGCAAAAACCATACAGGTGTAAAATTGTTCTTTCACTAGCAATTTGTGCTGCAGTCTTAGATTCTTGTAGCTACTCAGTTAATCCTGGATGTGTGAATGCACAAATACACAGCCTTTGGTGCCACTGAGGTTCAATAGTCTATTCAATCTCAGCATGTTTACTTTTCTGTCTCACAAAACTATTTCTAGGGGATTTTCCCCCCACTATTTATGTCTAGTTCCCTATTTGTATATTGGTCTCTTTCCCTTTTCTGTTCTTTTATAGACAAGATAGTATTACTTATCTGTAGAAGACCATACTGCAGTAAGCCACATTAAGACTGTCTTAAAAAGCAATTTATAAACATTTACACCTATTGAGAAGAACTGGAGGGTTGACAAAAAATTAACCATGGATTTTAATGCAAAATTATATACTTCCTGGACACAATTTTCAATGGAAAACACTAAAGAAAAAAAATTCAAAAAAGACATATATATAAAAACTGATTAATATGGAGCTCATACATCTGGTTTACAATATAAAGCATGGGGAAAAGAAATTCTAAAAAATCACAAATTAATTCTAAAATTCAAAAAATTAAAAAAACTCATTTAGAAGGTCCTTAAGATTCCCTAATACAGTGGAAGAGTGTTCATTATAATTACAGATATAACAAAGTTTTTCAATAAGAAAAGGTTGAGTTAAAATCTTGCATCCTATAACCTAAGGTCACTAATGACATTGCACCTTGAAATAGCAAATTGCAGATTTCTTTAGCTTATTTTATTAAATGATGAAAACCAAGACAAAGAGATATAATATGCATATAGGAACATCTAAGTTGGCTCATAGAAGGTATTTGTCATTTACTTATAAATAAACCAGTTTTTGATTCTTTTCAATGAGTATAAGCTCACATCCTATTGTGTTTTCGATAAAGGACAGGCATCAAAATATTTATACATAAGATGGCTTTCATTTATTAAAAAGACAGCCAAAATATTTTAAATGGGCATTTATGTATCTTGGAATTTTTAATTTCAAAATACTCATGCATAATATCAATAATATCTACCATTTCATAACATCATGCCATAACTCAAAATGCTGAAATTACTTATTTAAAGCTACTGCCACTCACAAACACTTCCTAGTATCAGTTCTGTTTTCCCTTGTCTATTATTACACAATACCTATTACTTCATATCAGGTATTTTTAAACCATGACCCAAAGAAATCTTCCATGTCTCACACAAAGGAAGAGTCACCCCTGTCTATTCAGAAAACAAGTTTCTATTATCTTCATAAATATATTATAGTGATGAGTCTCTAATAGAAGAGCAAGTACTGTTTGATTTTTCTGGAAACCTTGAGGTTTAAAATAAACATACTGAAAGTACCTAGAAAATGAGTAACCGATAAGACTTTTGGGAGAAATGGCAGGAACTGTCCTCAAAAAGTCTGGAATGCTGGGTTAGCCATATGTTCCTGTGGATTATGCTGTCTTTGCCACAGAACACTTCCTCTCCTTTGACTTGAAGCCTCTTCAAAGGAGCTCCTAACATTTCTTCCCCTTGTGGCAGTTACAGCTTCAGTCTAAAAAGATTCATTCTTCCTTATATTCACATACAATTCATCTGAGATTAAATTTGCTACAAGTAGGTGTCTGATACCAACTGTCTTTTCCCTGACTGTTAAAGAAAGAGTTAGATATTAATATTCATACTCAAATCTAAGCATAATTGTAACAGCTAATGACATCTGAAAAGTTTTGCTCTACAAAACCGGATTGAACATTCGGGATGAGCACCCATTGAAAAAATATCTTAAAGAAAACTATTTCCTAGGTTTCACCCACTAAATGAAAATCACTGATGGAAACTGATCAGAAAATATACATGCAGAGTTTGATTTCTAGAGAAGCTCCACATTATTTTCCCTCAGAAGTGCTGCAGACTAAGAAAAAAGTAATTGAGCTAAGGTCTGTGTTTGGAAGTACACAGCAGGAAAGTCCGCCTTGTACGTGTCAATGATCTCGGTCTTGAAATAGAAGAGATGGAAATCAATGTAATCATAGTTCTTTTTGCTCAATCAACCACCACTTTACCAAATAGCCTGGACAGAACAGCTCAACTTTTAATAATAATTTATGGGGGAAAAGTTAAAAGTTCTTGTTCTGGTGAGAAAGAGAGCATAGGTGGGTTCTACCAAGAATCCCCTTTTTTTTCTCCTGAAATGGGATTTTCATGCACATTCCTCTCCCTTTAAAATTTCAGTTATATGACAGATATCAGACTGAAGATGGTCCTTTCCTTTCTCTTCCTCTGAGACAGGTAATTTCTAGCTACTATTTCTGTTCAGCTCTTTGTGTGCCCATTATTCAGAGGTTCACAGTCTACACAAAAAACTGCTTACTTAAAGTAAACAAATGATTACTTTTAATTCCAAAAAGTGTTCAATTTTTTCTTCCAGTAGACCAAACCAGGGCTACTGAATACTGTAGCCAAACAGTTGAAATAACACAAACTGGGGGAAAAGAAGCTTCTCAATCAGTTCTTCCACTGAAGAGACAAGCCATCACAAATTAATTCAGAGGTAAAGGGCAAAAACCTATTGTCCCCATTGCTTTTGAACAGAGTACCCATTCCTAGAGTAAATGCAAGCCAGAGGACCTTCCAATAAATTGTTCTTCAGAGAAGTCATTATGGTAGGCCATCAGGGAAGGGCAAGATAATTAGTTATTTATTAGTTCAAGGTCAGAGCAGCTACTCCCATTGCTTGACATTCAGTGCTTCACGTGAAATATCAATCAACACATTTCACAGTCGTTGAACATGACAGTTGTCCACAGCACATAATTTGTTCTGTGTTTACTTGCCAGATTTTCCACTGCCAGGGTGCACAGGAGTGTCTGGCCACCTTGTATTTGATATGCTGCAAGTATTTGCCTTCTTTCATACTTACAGGCAAAACCAAAGAATAAAGCTGAAGAGACACCTATTAAATTCAGGAGCTTTTCTTCCAAAAATACAAAAGACACATGCAATGCATTCATTAGATTCCTATAGGAACATTGTACACAGCAGCCTTTGAATGCTATTGTGGAAAAGAGACATTGTTTTGAAGAGATTATTTTAAAATCTTCAAGTACAGTAAGATATTAACAGGTCCTCCATTCCCAAGTTGTATTAAAAAAGAAATCAACCTAATTTAAGAAGAGAAATCATATGAGGAATTCAAACTCAAAAGTTGCACTGAGGAAAGGCCTAGAGCTTAGACTGTAACAACTGACCAACCACAGGTTTAAGGTTTATTATTGCCACACTACCACACTCGTTCAGTACCTCCTGCCTTTACACACCCAGTACATCGATGTATAACTTCTGCAAAATTATACTTTAACGTTCAAGATTGTTGGTAACTCAGTGAAAAAAAAGCAACCACTGAAGAGATGATGAATTCCAAATAAATATGCTGTTATTATATGATGACTTTTATTAACTCTGCATTATGAAGCTCTGTATATTTGATCGCTTATTGAAACAACAGCTCAAGAGTTTTAATGAAAATGGCTTCACTTCATACTTTTATTTTCCTAAGATGACTATTTTACCTTTGAAGATCTACCAGCATTTTTCAGTAGACAACATAGAACATAATATTGCTTTTAGGTTTGTTACCTTGATGAGACACAAAAAACAGAATTATAGTTGAAAACAGGACTAAATCAGAACAAAAAAAACTTATCACAGTGGTATTTATTGTCTTTTTCAAAAGTTAGTATTGATGCCAAGATCAGCAATCCAGATAAAAATCTTTGTAAGTCACTTACCATATTTATTGATGATACAGGACCAATGCTGTTGACATAAATATCAACATCAATAACTGTTGGTTTTACTGTGGAGAAAAAAAAGAAAAATTATTTTGCAACATAAATAATCACTCCAAATACTTTTCCCCCCAATAACCATAAGGTCTTTTTTTCAGGTACAACTACTGAGAAATATGGATAATGTATTTTTAGGAAAATGCGGTCCTATTACTCCTACCCAACATAAAAAATTGCAATAAATTAAAACCTGTACCACTTCATCATCGCAATTCCAATTTGTCTCAGCAGCAATTTTCTAAACAAACTTTCAGGTCTAGGCACAGTAGCTCAAAGTCAAGCTCAAACCTAAGATGTCTGACATGAAAGTAGAAATAATGCAGTGTATTACTTTTTCCCTTTGCCTCAACATTAAGGTTCTTTAGCCTGTTTGTTCCACATCAAAAAAATCTTTCCAGGTTTCTGCATCTCATCAGCCCTGAAATCATCCTAACTTAGAGTAAAATCTCTATGAAATCTGATTAGCTAAACCTAAGCAACTCTTCTTTCAATTTAGACTCATTCCCTTCAGTCCACATTGCCTTTGCACTCTTTCATTCAAAGGCTTTTGAATTTGATTTGGTTTAGTCAATGCACATTTCCCATAAGATCTTCCATTTTTTCAGACTTCCTGGACTTAATAAGCCAAGACAAGCTCTATATTCCTTTGTTTTGCTGAGGGCACTGCGATTTCTCTTTCTTTCAGCATCTTTGGTGTCAGTGTACCTGCCGGACATTATTGAGCTCTTATTGGTGACATAACCTGACTCTAAAATAATGCCACTATTACACAAAAAGACACATATTTTCTTTACTTATACTGCCATTCTTCCAACCCCACAGGTTATATGTTAACCTCTAAATTGAGATCTAAATTAGTGGTCTACTTTCTCCAGAGTTAACTGACTCAAAACTAAGTATAAAGACTAAATGCTGTTTTAACCTGCAATTGATGCAGGCTTGCCCCTACTAAGCCAACAGCTTGTGTTGGACATCTTCCTTTCCCATAGAAGAACCTTCTCCTCTACATGGCTTTCAAAAACCTCCAGAGAGTATTCAAACCACTGAAGTTTAGGAACTGTGTTGGACTTGGACTTTTTTCACTAACCCCCAAGCCTCCTAGAATGAGGAAATGCAGGCATATTGGCCATTCAAAACTCGGAAAGCTTTCCTCTGGGAAGGTACTGAGCAGAGAAATGAGGAACAGTTAAATACCAAGGCTCTGCTGGAAGCTTATCTATGATAACTATCTGTCATTTGGTGTAAAGCCATCTGGCACAAAGCTGAAGATAGACAGGAATCTTCACATGTAAAGATGAATCTTTTTTGCCTGCATCCCCCAAATTTCAGACTATCAAAGCGGTGTCAAGTAGTTTTGAAGTACTTGAAAATTTTGATGGTTATGAAAAAGAGAATTTGCATGCCGGTTTGTCCTGTAAGGTATGTATGTATGTTTAGGAAGGCTATATCCCCTGTTGCAAAAAACAGACATTAAACTGGGTGAAAACAGTGGTTAAAGATGATAACCATTCTCTCTAATTCATTAAGTAACACATACTTCTTGACTGTGTATGGTCAGAACATCCAGGATTATTTAAGGTCATGGTTTCAAACTGCCTGAAGTACTGGCTGATAAACTCAGATCTCCCCTTCAGCAAAAGAAAATGTGAATTCAGCTGAACAAGCTCAGCTGATTAAAGCAATTCTAATTGTACCCAGCTAATAACTAAATAGGAGTCTAGCAGCTTCTGGTAATGAGTTGCCTCAAAATGCAGTAATAAATGTCATTACACAGGAATTGGTAATAGTGAGGAACTACAGCTAGTTCTTCCACCAGAATAGCATTCATGGAATAAAGAGCTCTAAGCTTTATAGGGTTTATGTATGTGTCTAGCTGGAAGTTCAAGGCTAAGGAGCTCTGGCGAACATTAATGGCACTAGACTTAAGGATGTAAATTGGCATGCAATTGAATCTTGGCAGGACCAGAACACAGTGCTTGAAACCTGTTTCTGTTTAATCCTTGCAGCAGTTAAGTATATAAATAGAATATGAGGTGGTAATTTCTTCTGAATGTGCTGGACCAAATTCTCTTATGGTGAAAAAAAAAAAAAAAAACAAAACCAAAAAACAAAAAAATACTGCTTGTTAATGTTAAAGAGAATTTGATCTTACTCACAGTTACTCACAGTAAAGATCTAACCTTGAAACAGAACACTAAACAACAGTCACTTCTTCTGTCAGACATTTCCAGTGAAATTCAAATTGAAAATAAATAATAAGAAAATACAGGTAAGCTATTATACATGTTCAAATTAAAAAAAAAAAATTATAAAGATTGTAAGCTTACTTTAATTACTTTGTTTTATTTTTCTAGGCAGAGGTAAAAAATATAAATGTAATTTGATTGTATGATAAATATGTATTCAGATTTTAAAAGAAAAGTCAGAAGAACGTAATTCTTGTTGTACATGGTCTTTCATGGATATAAACACATACAAACAAACTAAGGATTATCAGGTATAAATTTTAAATTTGTTATCATGAGTTTAAATTCAAAATACTAACCAAAATGAAGAAAGGTTTTAAGATTATTTTCTCCAAAATGCATTATGAAAAAGGAAATAACTGAGTCTTACAGTTATTGTGTCATATTAGAAAGAACTCGCCCTACAAAGCTCTTCAAAATAAACTGAGTTTCGTGGAAAGATGAAAAAGCTACACTATCGGGAAGGTTGGACCGGATGATCCACTGTGTTACCTTCCAACCATTCTGTGATTCTGCAATTTCAATGCCTGCTCAGTTTTTCAGTGTTCTGCATGCATTTGTGAACACAGTTCCTGAAGGAATTCAAGCCTCACATGGAGTTGTTGAGTTGCAGACGGAGCTTTTTTCCTTGCACTGGAAGAGTCCTCAGTGTTGTTGACAGAACAATGAAAATGTTAATACCTCACTAAAAGGTGACAGTAAGATTAAATATGGATACTCAGCTTCAGTACTGTTTTGTTTTTGGCAAAAACCCAAGATAGTTCTAAAGAGCTGTCAGAAACTTTGAAAAATTACTGGCAGAACCATGTGTATACAACATGCAAGAGAGCAATTAAAGGTTGTCAACAAATGTACCAGCCTTCTCAAAGTTCATTAAAATATTATTTAATCCATGGCAGTAACTTTCCCTAAAAGATAGTGCAAGCACATCTGAGTAATTGCAGTGTTACACTGCTACTCAGGGCTACCAAAGGTAACCTAGCTACTTATCACAGTCATTTTATCTTCAAACATGTTGGCTTTAATTGAGGAGGGGATTTATAAAACCAATCAAAATGTTTTTAAACAAAACTAAGGTCATCAGATCCAAATGCCCTGGCTTTGAGACAGTGTTTACATTCCAGTCAGCTTTGTAACTATCACTTTGCAAAGACACTACCAACAAGTACTGCCTACAAACTTAAAAAAACCCCTGACAGTTCAAAACACAACTATGGGATTAATCTAGTTCTGCGTTGTGGATTTACAAGGGTGAAAAAAAAACAGTACCTGAACTTGAATCTCATTAAAATCCATGAAGACATTACTGTTGGACATATGTGAGTTGATCATGTGTATTGAAAAAATTGAAGAGATAAATCAGGAGAATTTTAAAAGAATAAATCAAAAGAGAGAATGTTATAAAATTTCATGTCATGTAGAGGAAAAAATCTGCAAAATGTTCCTGACATTTTATTATGCTTATTTACTACTCTGAATAATGCTGTCCTTTTAAAATATCTTTTAATTTTTGATAGATCTCCACTATTCAGAACTGATGCTTATTTCATGAATGAAACCACTTTTCTTCCTTCAGAAAGCTTCCTCCACATTTGAAGTCTGTCCAAATAGCGCTAATGTTCTTGCATAAATCATAAATATTTAGAAATATTTTTAAAATTTTAATATTGGGAAATATTTTTTACAAGCTCAATTAAACAGAGTGTGTCTTACTGAGTTCTCATTAATTTTAAAACAAAATTATTTTTTGCTGAGAGTTAACCTTTCTTACATTGTTCAACCAACTCACAGGTTTATTCTGGTTTTACCCAACACAGCAGGGGTAAAAAATGTTATAGATCAATACATACACATTTGTAGAAGCAAAGCAGCTAGAGCTAGATTTTTAGAAGGCACAAAAATACATAAAAATCACAATATGATCTCTGTTCAAGACCTACAGGGCCGCTTGAATTCTGCCCCAATTTTACAAGACTACTGACTAACAAGATTGGCTCTGCAGTAATGAGATATTTTTTTATATTACTCTGTAATGACACTTTACATTCTCTCATTACCACATAAATTGCTATTTTTAAATTGGGACAATGCTGTGATAAATCATTACACAGATATTGGTAACTGTAATAGTAGTGATTATAGTGTTAATTTTTACTTTGCATTAGTGATGACGACTATTCCAATTTTCCTACGTGACCTTATTGGCAACATCTCTTTACCTAGCTATTCCTATAAAAAAACCTGCTCTGCTAACAAATCACTTCTCAAGACTAAATACAGGCAGCTAACACATCTCCATTTTACAACAAATAACCACATTTGAAGAAAAACCTGGTAACAGGAAGTGTTAAACCACCATCCCTGGAGGTATTTAAAAGATGAGTGGATGTGGACATGATTTAGTGCTGGATTTGGCAGTGGTAAGTTAAGGGTTGGGCTCAAAGATCTTAAAAATCCTTTCCAACTTGAATTATTTGATTATTCTCTTCTCCAATGCTACAAATCTATCAGTGAGGAAAATTAAAAACCCTCATTCTCCCTGCATGAAAGAGAATGGGCTTGAAAACAGATAGATGTCAAAGTCCTGCACTTGCTACAGACACAGAAACTCTGTCAGAAGTGACATCCATATGTTTTAGGTTCAAGCTACCTAAACAGAACTGCAAATGAAAATCAAAAGAAGAAAGAAATTTTGGATTAAAGCAGTACCAGGATGAGAACACAGTCCTCTGAAAACAGCATTTTTTTACATGCTAGGTTTG